GGGGCATCGACGATTCATTGTGTCTGTGTTTTTTTCCCTCCTGAGGCATGTCAACACGATGACAGGTTCGATGACCCAATCGTGAAGTTAGTGAGGTACTCCAGACGCCGTGCGAGTGGAACGTCCAGCCACGTAGACGAGCTGCCCTGCGAACGATGGCGTATGTAAAAGGTCACTGTGCGGCGGCGTGCTCAAAGTTGAAGGAAGGAGGCGCGAGAAGATCGCATCGTGAATCAACAACTCTCTAGGCAAATCGAGGACACCGCACAAGCCGACCTGCATTAGGCAAACTCCTGCTATGAACCCAGGCCTGAACAATTCGACCCTTGTCGATCTGTGATGGTCCAGCCTGACGCATGGCTCACACCGTGGATGTCGTGGGGAGGAGGGTTTTTTGAGCTGGTTGGGGCACAATGAAATCTGCCAGGAGGTGGAGATGAAGCCAAATCAGCTCAAAATCGGTCCCTGGACTCCTCCGTGAAATCATCTGTCGGGCGTTGGCAGAACTAGGTTTAGCGGGCCCTGGTTTAGTGATGTGTACTGGGGGGCGCCCCCCCCGCCCCGTTCCACTAACCAGAACTGCCGTCACCCGAAAAAACACCAGCTACGGCAAACCTGGTTTAGTGATTCTGGCCAATTCAGGGGCTCTGGGGCCCTACCACTAACCGGGTCCCCTTACCTGGGGTCCTGGCTATTCTCGAATCTGGTGTAGTTTTTCACCCAGGTTAGTTTTTCACAGTCCTGGGGTCCGAAAGCGGTCCTTGGAGGCCGAAAAGGGCAACAGAAACCTTCCCAAACCTAGAACCTCGAACCTGCCAGCCCGTACTGCTGGCCGCAACCAGGGCCGGGGCCACTTCAGGCCCCCAAACGGCTTCCGAGCGTCGCTAGATCGAGGATCTCGGTGTCCGGCTTGCCCTTCCCGAACCCAGAACCTCGAACCTGCCCGCCCGTCCTGCTGGCCAGAAGCAATGCCGTGGCCAATTCAGGCCCCCTGACAGCTTCTGAGCGGAGGGGAAGGGGGGCGCTCGCCAGATCGAGGACCTCGGTGGTGTCCAGCTTGCCCTTCCCGAGCCCAGAACCTCGAACCTGCCCGCCCGTCCTGCTGGCCGGAAGCAGTGTTTGGTCGGGCATGTCCTGCTACAGGTGGATTTTGGAGGGAAAAACCACACTAGCCAAAACATGTGCAAAAAAACAAGCATCATAGAAACATCGTCCTCGCATTATGTTTGGACTATCGGAAGTTGGGGGGTGAGATCGCAGTGAAACGGAGACCCCCCACCAGGAAATCGATTTCGGTTTCGTGTTCGTGTCGTTCGTACGGGCGAGGCGAAGCTGCGCGTGATCCTCCTATAGCTAGGCCGAAGTAGGAGCGAAAGTCAGTGTCCCGTCCGCCAGTGGCCGGGATGTCCCAGTTAGGCGGGGCGGTGTCCCGGGTGTCCCGGGCGTCCCGGCGCTAACGCATGTCGCTAATTTCATAATTCATGTTATTCGGCGCCTGCGGCGGGCTTTCTTATCCAATCCGATTTATCTTATCCAATCCATCTTGTCCATTCCAATCGATCTTATCTTATCCAACCCATCTTGCCCCATCCATCCAACCCAATCCACCAACTCATTTGCTTCTGCGCCTGCGGCGGGCCAATCCAATCCATCTCATCGTATCCAATCCATTTCTTCCAATCCAACCCATCTTACCTGATCCAATCCATCTTATCCCATCCAATCCAATCCACCTAACCCAATCCATCAATTCGTTTTTGTCGGCGCCTGCGGCGGGCTTTCTTATCCAATCTTGCTTATCTTATCCAATGCATCTTGTCCAATCCAATACATCTTATCTTATCCAACCCATCTTGGGTGAGAAGAGATCAAGGTGAGATGAGATCAAGTTGACAGGCTGGAGGTCAGTCAGGGTGGGCATGTGATCTCACCCACCCCCCCCAAACCTCCTTATCGCCCGCAGGGCGGTCGTATGGGTATTTGAACCTTCCTCCTGTAGAGGGACACGCCCGACTTACAGGCAGTGCTGGGCCACCTCAGGCCCCCAGGCGGCTCTGAGCGGGGGGCCCAAACCTCCGAAACATTCTGATTCTTGCGCGACGCGACCCCCCGGGGGGTCCGGACCCCTTCCCCCGGGACCGGCTTCTCACCCGGAGTCGCTTTCTGACGGTCCCGAGGCCCAAGTAAGGGCCCCCAGAGAGTGTCATTGCACCGACCTTGCAGACGTGCTGCAGCGGATTCTTGCGTGGATCGCTGTCAATGCAGAAGCTCGACACGGCGAGTGAAAAACGACGTGAACTTCACATGGATTTTTGCAGTCTTCATTCCTGACCAGAAACAAACCGTGCGAAATTCTCCGGGACAACCCAGGCCCACCCACTTGTTTTCCGAGTGCAATCCGCTCTACGATGTTGGCGCCATGAAGAATGAACATGGCGAAAAACAAGCCGCCGTGATTTTTTCATGGCTCGAGGGGGCCTGGTGGGGGGGGGGCGCTCGCCAGGTCGAGGATCTCGGTGGTGTCCAGCGAGCTGGAGCCGTCCGAGCCGCCGAAAACGAGCAGCCGCTGGCGCTCGAGCATGGCCTGGCGGCTGGGGCGACGAGCGCGCGACAGGGGGGGGAGGAAAGGGGGGGCGCAGGGCCCTCTCGAGCGACGAGGTACAAGGGGGTGCTACGCTGAGGGAAATGGATGATGGAGGCAGAACGAGCGGCAGAGACGTAAACTGGTTTCAGTCGAAGAGGGCCGGCAAACGCCGCGCAGCGCGCGGCGTGCCCCCTTCGCAGGCTGCCGCTGCGCGGCGTCGCGTTCGTCGGCGGGCGCGGCCGCCAACACCCCCGCACCCCCGATCGCCGGCGCGCGCTTGTGCCTGCCAAGCAAACGAGCTGGTGTGCCTACCTCTCAGGGTGCTCAGACCGTCCCGCGGCCTTTCCCCCCCCCCATTGTTTCCCTCCAGCCTTCCCCTGCCTGTGCCTGGATTTGCTCCGCATGCGTCCCAACGTACCCTTGCCGCAGCTCGGACCCGCGAGACCGCCGACCTCAAAGTCTGGGTCGTCCTCCTCGTCCTTCCCCATGCGCCTGCTAATGGGGTCAGACTTCTGGGGGCCAGAACGAGCGATGGGTAAATTGAAGACACATGTCCTGAGAAAAAAACATCCGTCCTGGCGAAGATAGAAAGTGCCAGACAAATTACTCAATACAACTGTTTCAGAAGAGCACACAGTCCCGAACAAGGGACATTTGAGGAATCGAGCATATTACCTTTTTCGGACCACCGAAAGGCTCACCGCCATGACCAGGCGAAAAACCTCCGCGCTCTCCCCAGATCCCCAACGTTTTTTGTTGTTGGTTCCCATCGTACTTAAGGACCACATCCCAAAAATAATTTCGAGCACCCTGAAAAGTAGCGAATGTCTGCCCAACACGCCAGCGACATGTCGAACAAGTATAGACTCCCAGGGCCCGACACGCGAAACTCCTTCAGTTTGGGTGCTTCCCTGATGCTCGATGTTTTTCCCAACCAACCTGTGTTGTTGGGTCCTCGTTTTGAAGAGATGGTCCCCGCGTCCCTTCTCCTCCTCTTCCTCCTCTCCTCCTCTTCCCCTTCTCCTCTCCGCATGCGTCATCCACCACCCACCACAGCGTTTCGTGGCCCCATAAGGGGGCTCCACCGAATGCCCCAGTGGGACCGCCCGCATGCGTCATCCACCGCCCGGCACAGCATGTCGTGGCTCCATAGGGAATGGAACTCCACAAGGCTCCAATGGGACCGCCCGCGTGCGTCATCCAGCACCCAGCGAAGAAATTTCGTGTCCCAATAGGGAACCCCACCGAAAGCTCCGATGGGACCGCCCGCGTGCGTCACCCACCACCCAACACAGCGCTTCTTGGCCCCATAGAGGGGCTCCACCGAAGGCCCCACTGGGACCGCCCGCATGAGTCATCCACCACCCAGTACAGCGTTTCGTGGCCCCGTAGGGGGCTCCACCGAAGGCCCCAGCGGGACCGCCCGCATGCGTTATCCACCACCCAGTACCCAATACAGCGTTTCGTGTCCCCACAAGGAGCTCCACCTAAGGTCTCCGTGGCGGAACTCGCATGGCGGCCCAGTGGCGGAGTTCGCATGGCGGCGACTTTCGATTTTCGGAAGTTTTTCGTCGTTTTCGATGTATTGAGGCCGCTTTCGGGCCGCGCATCCCGGGCGGAAGCCAGCCTGCTCGCTCTCTGCTCCGCGCAGCGGATGACCCGCGCGCGTCGCCGGGACCCCTTCGGGGCGACCAGCGCGCGTCTCGGGGACTCCGTGCGGCGCCGCGCCCGCAGCCTTGGACGCGGGCGCGCACGGGCAAAGAGGGAGAAGAAGAACGGGAAGGAAGCGGGCGCGATCCTCGTGAGAGGCGTGCCGACATGGGCGTCGACATTTATGCACGTAGACTCACGCGCGCGCAGGCTCATCCTCAATCAGACTCACTCGCTCTCAGTCTCTCGCACACAGACCTATCGTCTTCGCTCGCGTTGTGTGCCCCGCCGCGCATGTCGGCACGCGCCTCACACGGTTCGTGGCCCCATAGGGAGCGCGGGCGAAGATGATATTCAAAATTGCGGTACTCACAACTGCATATGGTTGGGTCCTTCGCCAGGCTAATTTTCAGGTGATCGAAGCTAAAGAAGGTCGAGATCTCATAATCCCAAGAAGTCTCGACCCCTTCCGCGGGACCAATTTTTCATCCTGAGCCGTTGTTTGACAGTCCTGGGGCCCAGTGAGGGCTCACGGAAACTGAAAATAACGAATGAGCACCGTTTAACCGAACCCGATCCCCAACGGCGTGACCTGGGCCACACTAACTGATTTTTCCCCCAAGATGGGGATATGAGCTGTTCCTTCGGGCTTCGGGGGGTAGATCTCCAACCAGGGTTGTAAAATGGTGGGGGTCTGGATGGGGACGGGGCTGGGGGTCGATTGACGTACCCGTCGCTCGGAAGAAGTGGGTAGAAGCATGAAGTAGGAAGGCGTTGGAAGTAGATTGGGCTTCCGCCCGCCCCCAGAAGAGGAAGCAACATGTGAAACCACTCGATCATTGAAGTAGGAAGGCGCCTATATTGATATTCGAAATTCAATTAGCCTGGCGAAGGGCCCAACCATATGCAGTTGTGAGTACCCTCGTTGTATGCACCGCATTCGGAGGAGCTTCTTATAGGGCTACGAATCGTGTGAGGGGTGTGCCAAAAATTATCCGGTGGGCGCATGCGAAAGCAACCACTTGGGCCGTCGGTGGAATTACCTATGGGGCCACGAAGCGCGTGAGAGGTGTGCCGAAATAGGTGCGGTGGGCGCATGCGAACGCAGCCACTGGGGCCGTGCCGGAATGGGTGCGGTGGGCGCATGTGAACGCAGCCACTGGCGCCTTCGGTGGAGCTCACTATGGAGCCACGAAGCGTGTGAGGAGTGTGCCGAAACGTGCGCGGGTGACGCATGCGGGCGGTGGCACTGGGGCCTTCGGTGAAGCTCCCAACGGGTCCACGAAACGTGTGAGAGGCGTGCCGAAACGTGCGTGGGTGACGCATGCGGGCGGTGGCACTGGGGCCTTCGGTGGAGCCCCTCCCTATGGGGCCACGAAACGTGTGAGGGGTGTGCCGAAATGGGGGTGGGTAACGCATGCGGGCGGTGGCACTGGCGCCTGCTGTGGAGCTCCCGATGGCTGGGGCCTTTGGAGGAGCTCCCCATGGGGCTAACGAGCGCTGTAGTGGGTGAAACGCAGGGAGGAGGGGGAGGACGAGGGAGGATGAGGAAGGAAGGAAGGGAGGAGGAAGGAACGCGGGGACCGTCTCTTCAACACGAGGACCCAACACCACAGGATGGTTGGGAAAAACATGTATTCTTTTAATGACCGACGAATAACTGAGAAAACCCTTCCGCCGTGTTTTTTTCTGGACTTGAGTCGGCGGCGAGCGAGGGGGGAAGTGAGAAGGAGAGAAGTCCCGCCGCCTTCTTTCGCCATCGCTCGGACCTTCCATTCCGCGTGCATGTTTTCGGCTTCGTGCGTGCATTTTCCGCAAGAGGAACCATATGCTCCTCGATGATAGTCCATGCCAAGAAACAAACACATGTCCGAGCGATGCCAAAAAATCTCTCCTTCTAGGAATCAACGATATAACCATAAACTTTTGGCGCGCCGCGCTGATTTCTTGGATCCACGCCGGGCCCCCCCCGGGCGGCGCCTATGGTGTTTTTATTCTTCGACCAAATTCTCCTCGATGGTCCTGGCCGAGACAAGTACATACTCCTCCCCCTCCTTCTCCTCCTCCTCCTCCTCCTCTCCCTCCCCCTCCTCTCCCTCCCCCTCCCCCTCCTCCTCCTCCTCCTCCTCCTCCTCCTCCTCCTCCTCCGCCCTCCTCCTTCTCCTCCTCCTTCTCCTCCTCCCCCTCCCCTCCTCCTCCTCCTCCTCCTTCTCCTCCTCCTCCTCTCCTCCTCCTTCGCCCCTCCTCCTCCTCCTCCGCCTCCTCCTCCTCTCCTCCTCCTCCTCCTCGCCCTCCTCCTCCTCCGCCTCCTCCTCCTCCCTGCCCCTCCTCCTCTCTCCTCCTCCTCCCTCCTCCTCCCTCCTCCTCCTCCTCCCCCCCTCCTCTTCCTCCTCCTCCCCTCCTCCTCCTCCTCCGCCCTCCTCCGCCTCCTCCTCCTCCTCCTCCTTCCTCCTCCTCCTCCTCCTCTCCTCCTCCTCCTCCTCCGCCCTCCTCCGCCTCCTCCTCCTCCTCCTCCTCTGCCCCTCCTCCTCCTCCTCCTCCTCGTTCTCCTCCTCCTCCTCCTCCTCCTTCGCCTCCTCCTCCTCCCTCCTCTCCGCCCTCCTCCTCCTCCTCCTCTCCTCCTCCTCCTCCTCCTCCTCCTCCTCTCCTCCCTCCCCCTCCTCCTCCTCCTCCTTCTCCTCCTCCTCCCCCTCCTCTTCCTCCTTCTCCTCCTCCTCCTCCTCCTCCTCCTCCTCCTCCTCCTCCTCCTCCTCCTCCTCCTCCTCCTCCTCCTCCTCCCCCTCCGCTCGCCGCCGACGCGAGGGCGGCGGGGCGGCGAGGGCGCGCCACGGCGCAGAAGTTGCGCCGCGTGCACGTGGACGGCCCGGGCGTGAACTGCGGCGGGGGGCGGCGGGGGGCGCCGCCGGGCGCCCGCCGGGAGGGCGGGGGCTCGGTCGTCAGAGGAGGAAGAGGAGGTACCCAGACATGATCGCGTCGTAAGACAAATCAAGACGGGAAGTTTTTGGCCGTTTTCGGCCTCGGGGGACCCTCGCTGGGCCTCGGGACCGTCAAAAACGGCTCAGGATGAAGAACCGGTCCCGGGGAAAGGGTCGGGACTTCCAGGGACAACGTAATGAAAAAAACAGGACGTCGCATGTCTGGATACCGATACTGCTACCCTTCGCCCGTTTTCCCCTCTCTAGACCTCCTCGGAGGCTCTCGTTGCCACCGCTGGATTCGCTTTGAAGTTCTGGTCAGGACGCACCCCGGGAGAGGTCCGGGGAGTAGCGGTATCGGTACCTTTTGGTCGACCAGGTCGGCGCCTGTGCAGGTCAGCACGAGGAAGGGAGCAGGAGATAGAGGCCTCCTAGACGGGCTCCGAGTGGATGGGGTCGGAGGAATCGCGCCGCATCGCCGATGCATCAGACATCGACGATGCATCGACGATGCATAGGCGATGTCGGCGATGCGTCGGCGACGTCGGCGTGGAGAAAATCGGGTTCCACATCGAGCCGCATCGCCGATGCACCGATGCATCGGCGATGCGGCGCGATCCTCCGACCCCATCTACTCCGACCCCATCTAGGAGGCCTAGAGGAGACCCCATCTAGGAGGCCCAGAGGAGACCCTCGGCGGCGAGCGAGGGGGGGAAGTGAGAAGGAGGAGGCCTCCGCAGAAGGCGGCGGGGCTTCTCAGAAAACCCTCGCGGTTTCCGAGATTGTTTTTCCTGTGTGCCTTCGGGGAAGGCTTGGAAAACTTCGCAGAAGGCCAGGGAACTGCCGAACTTTCCGCCTCCTCCTTCTCCTCCTCCTCCTCCTCGTCCTCCTCCTCTTCCTCCTCCTCCTCATCCTCCTCCTCCTCCTCCTCCTCCCTCTCCGCCCCGAGGGGGCCCCTCCCGTAGGGGAGGGGTCGGGACCCCAGGGTCCTCCTGGCGCAGGCGGGGAGCGCCGGGCCCGAGGGGCGAAAATCCCCCGCACCCCGGGGGACGCCGCCAAAGTGCGGTTTCCTTCCCCCGGGGGGGTCGCCTGGCCCCGTGTGCTTCCCCAGGGCGGTGCTGGGTCCCCCCCAGCACTCGCCGCCCTGGGGCGGGGCTGGCGGCTCGTCTCCGTCGTGTCGCTCGTCCGTCTCGTGTCGTTCGTGTCGCGTCGTTCGTTTCGTCCCCCTGTCGTGTCGTGTCGTGTCGTGGTCCCGGGGCCGTAAAACGCGGCCACCCATGGAGTGGGTGGTGGGTAGGGTTGGCGCTGAGCACGGCTCGCGCCCCCTACCCCGACCAGGGAGCGCGGAGCACGGTCTCCCAGCGCTCCCTGGTCGCGCTTAGGTCGCGCCACGGGGGCTTGGCCCCGACCGTGGCGCGGCCTGCGCCGTTTTTGGTGCAAAACTCGCTGGCACTCGCCACGCCAGCGAAGTCATGTGGCTGATCATGGGTCGACAAAAAAAAAATCCTCCTCCCTCTCCGCCCTCCTCCTCATCCTCCTTCTCCTCCTCCTCCTCCTCCCTTCTCCACTTCCCCCGGGCTCGCCGCCGAGAGAAGAGGAGGGAGCGCTCGACCCATAGAGCTCCTCATCCGACTCGGCTCTCGACCGCTGTGCGAGTCAAGAGGTCGCCGGGCAAGCCAGGAACACCACACAAAGGCGACCTGCGAGAGGCACGTTCATGCACGCAGGGAGGAGAACTGAGATACCTTGGGTGACCCAACAGGGGGTCCAGCTGAAAGGGGGTGGTGGAATAGATTTTTGGGCCAGTGTGTTGCAAATGTATTGCGCCAGAGAGTTGTATTGCATTGCATTGCAACTAGTGTATTGCATGCGAAAATCCAGCAATACATTTGCGCCCTGGAATGTACTGCGCGCCTCAAAACTATTGCAACCCACAAATCCATTGCACCAAATCTATTGCACCACCCCCTTTTCGCTGGACCCCCTTTTTGGACAAACCAAAGATATGTCGCCGCGCCGCTTGTCCTCGACGCGCACGAGTGGACGACGCCGACAGCACGGCAAACCCACGGCAAACCTTGCGACGGCAACCAAGTAGACGAAGCCCGCACCGCGGCAAACCCCGCAGCGAACCCACCGCGCCCGTTTGCCCTGGTGGCCGCGGCGCCCTCCCCAATACGACGTAAGGCCGAGCGTCGGAACAAACGGCGCGGCGACATAGTCGGGGACCACCGACATCTCGTACCCCTCGCGCGATACGGCAGTGGAGCAGGCCCGAGAGCGACCCCTCCAGGCTTCACTCGCTCCACGGGGGCTGAGCCCATCTGCTGTGGCGTGGGACACGTAAACATACATGATATTCGCGCACCCGAGGCCATCACCCTTTGTAAATTACATAATGATCGCGCCCCCGAGGCCACAAGCCGAAGTACATGATGTAATTCTTGCGTCCCCGAGGCAACGAACCTGGGTCAACTACTCAATTTTCGCGTCCCCGAAGCCATGAACCCTCGCAGAGTACGCTTTATTGGCACTGCCGAGCCCAAGAATGCTCCACGGCGCCCGAAGATGGTTCCAAGGCGGCCCAAGAGGGCCAAAAGACGCCCCAAGAGCGTTCCAAGAGGCCTCCCGAGAGAGCCCCAAGCGGTCATTTTGTAGATTTGACGAAGGTATTGAAGGATTTTGGCCTTCTCGCATTTTCGGCTTTCCGACGCTCCGAGACGCCTCAAAAAGCACCGACATCCCATTGCCTCCAAGAGGGCCCCAAGACGGCCCAAGAGGGCTACAAGACGGCTCAAGAAGGTCTCAAGGCGGCCCAAGAGGGTCCCAAGACGGCCGCAAGAGGGGCCGCAAGAGGAGCACGAACCGAATATTCGATACCTGTGCCCGAGAATACCCCAGGAGGCCGTACGAGGCCGCCAAAAGGCATCAAGAGGCTCCGAGACGCCCTCGAAGAGGCCCAACAGAGACCCCACGAGGCCCCCAAGGGACGCCCAAACCGCCTTCTTGGGCCTCCAAGATGGTCCAAGATGGCCTCCAAGTCCGCCCAAGATGGTCCAAGACGGCCTCCCAGACGGCCCAAGAGAGTCCAAGACGGCCCAAGACGGTCCAAGAGGCCTCCCAGATGCTTCCAAGACGGCCCAAGAGGCCCCCAAGAGGTCCTCAAGGAGGGCTCGAAGAGGCCAAAATCAATGATTATCCCTCGGTTTTTGACGGATGTTGGCATTCGCTTCTTCTCGGCTTTCCGACGACCCAAGACGGCCCAAGAGGCCCCCAAGATCGCCCCCACAGCGCCCAAGAGGCCTGCAAGATGGCCTCAGGACTGCCCAAGAGGCCCCCAAGACGGCCCCAAGAGGGCACAAAGCCGACCCAAGAGGCCTCCAAGACGGCCAAGATGGCCTCCAAGACGGCCCTGGAGCATTCCAAGAGGGCCCCAAGTCGGCCCAAGGAGGCCCCTCAAACAGCTTCGGATGGCGTCAGACGGGCCAGGAGCCCACCAAGATGGCCGAAGTTGGCTCGAAGCTGGCCCAAGACGGCCCAAGAGGCCTCCAAGAGGGCCTCCAGGAAGGCCAGACCAGGCAACAAACAAGATTTTGATATTTGCTTCTGTTCGGCCTTCCGACGGCCCGAGACGGCCCAAGAGCCCCCAAAGATCGCCCAACGATCGCCCAAGAGGCCTCCAAGATGGCCCCAGAACGGCCCAAGCGGCCCCCAAGACGGCCCCAAGAGGGCCCCAAGACGGCCCAGGAGGCTTTTAAGACGCCCACGATGGCCTCCAAGACGGCCCTGGAGCATTCCAAGAGGGCCCCAAGTCGGCTCAGAGAGGCCCCCCAAACGGCTTCCGGACGGGCCAGGGGCCCACCAAGACGGCCGAAGATGGCACTAAGATGGCCCAAGACGGCCCAAGAGGCCTCCAAGAGGGCTTCCAGGAAGGCCCGAAAAGGCCGAAATTATTGATTTACCATGAGTTTTTGAAGGATTGTGGCATTTGCATGTTTCTGCCTTCCGACGGCCCGAGACGACCCAAATGCTCCCAAATACCGCCAAAGAGGCCCAAGACGGCCCCAAGAGGCCCCCCAAGACGGCCGAAGATGCCTCTAAGACGCTCAAGATGGCCTCCAAGACGGCCCAAGAGCCCTCCACGACGTCCTCCAAGAAGGCTCGAAAGGGTCAAAATGTCCTCCAGGCGGCCCAAGTTGGCTCGAAGCTGGCCCAAGACGGCCCAAGAGGCCTCCAAGAGGGCCTCCAGGAAGGCCAGAACAGGCAACAACAAAGATTTTGATAATTGCTTCTGTTCGGCCTTCCGACGGCCCGAGACGGCCCAAGAGCCCCCAAAGATCGCCCAACGATCGCCCGAGAGGCCTCCAAGATGGCCCCAGAACGGCCCAAGCGGCCCCCAAGACGGCCCCAAGAGGGCCCCAAGACGGCCCAGGAGGCTTTTAAGACGCCCACGATGGCCTCCAAGACGGCCCTGGAGCATTCCAAGAGGGCCCCAAGTCGGCTCAGAGAGGCCCCCCAAACGGCTTCCGGACGGGCCAGGGGCCCACCAAGACGGCCGAAGATGGCACTGAGATGGCCCAAGACGTGGCCCAAGAGGCCCCCAAGAGGGCCTCCAGGAAGGTCCGAAAAAGCCCAAATCATTGATTTACCACGAGTTTTTGAAGGATTGTGGCATTTGCTTTTTTTCGGCCTTCCGACGGCCCGAGACGGCCCAAGTGCCCCCAAAGATCGCCCAAGACGGCCCCAAGAGGCCTCCAAGACGGCCGAAGATGCCTCTAAGACGCTCAAGATGGCCTCCAAGACGGCCCAAGAGCCCTCCAAGACGTCCTCCAAGAAGGCTCGAAAGGGTCAAAATGGCATCCAGGCGGCCAAGATGACCTTCAAGATGCCCACATGTTCCCCGAAGGCTTTCCAAACCGATTCGGGGAACACATGGTCCGATAGCTTGGCAGTTCTGGCCTCAACGTTCGGCCCCAGAGGCGCTTCCAAAAAGGCAGGGGGCGGCGGTGATTCGCCGTAGGCGTCTTCGATCCGCCGCCCTCTGTCGATTCATCGCAGGGATGCCTGGCGTGGCGAATCCGATGGTTTTGGTTTTGGTTTTTTTCCAAGAGAACTCCCCCTGGGGCTTCGGCCCGTCCCGCCGGGGTCCTGGGAGATTCCCGAAAACCCATCCGTCAATGCCTTTGTTGCCCCAAGTTGGCCCAAGATGGCCCCCAGGATGGCCTCCAAGACAGCCAAAATGGCCTCCAAGACGGCTAAGATGGCCTCAAGATAGTCTAAGACGGCCCGAAAGGCCCGCAAGAGGCCTCCAAGACGGCCCCAGAGGCTTCCAAGAGGTTCTCCAGGAAGGCCCGAAGAGGCCAAATTCATAGATGTTCCTTAGGTTTTTGAAGGGTTTGGGCATTTGCGCCCTTTCGGCTATCCGACGGCCCAAGACGGCCCAGGAGGCTCCCAAGATCGCCCAAGAGGCCCCCAAGAGGGCCTGCATGACGGCCCCAGACGCCTGCAAGACGGCCCCAAGAGGGCCCGAAGACGGCCCAAGAGGCCTCCAAGACGCCCAAGATGGCCTCCAAGACGGCCAAGATGGCCTCCAAGACGGCCCCGAAGTGCCCCAAGAGGGCCCCAAGTCGGCCCAGAAAGGCCCCCAAGACGGCTCCCGACGGCGTCAGATGTGCCAGGAACCCACCAAGATGGTCGAAGTTGGCTCGAAGCTGACCCAAGACGGCCCAAGAGGCCCCCAAGAGGGCCTCCAGGAAGGCCAGAAGATGCCAAAAACATGTATTGTCCCAAGGTTTTTGACGGATTTTGACATTTGCTTCTTTTCGGCCTTCCGACGGCCCGAGACGACCCAAGAGCCCCCAAAGATCCCCGAAAGATCGCCCAAGAGGCCTCCATGATAGCCCCAGAACGGCCCAAGAGGGCCCCACGACGGCCCCAAGAGGCCCCCAAGACGGCCCAGGAGGCCTTTACGACGCCCAAGGTGGCCTCCAAGACGGCCCTGGAGCATTCCAAGAGGGCCCCAAGTCGGCCCATAGAGGCCCCCCAAACGGCTGCCGACGGCTTCAGACGGACCAGGAGCCCACCAAGACGGCCGAAGATGGAACTAAGATGGCCCAAGACGGCCCAAGAGGCCACCAAGAGGGCCTCCAGGAAGGCCCGAAAAGGCCGAAATCATTGATTTACCTAGAGTTTTTGAAGGATTGTGGCATTTGCATGTTTCTGCCTTCCGACGGCCCGAGACGGCCCAAGTGCCCCCAAATATCGCCAAAGAGGCCCAAGACGGCCCCAAGAGGCCCCCCAAGACGGCCGAAGATGCCTCTAAGACGCTCAAGATGGCCTCCAAGACGGCCCAAGAGACCTCCAAGACGTCCTCCAAGAAGGCTCGAAAGGGTCAAAATGGCCTCCAGGCGGCCAAGATGACCTTCAAGATGCCCACGTGTTCCCCGAAGGCTTTCCAAACCGATTCGGGAACACATGGTCCGATAGCTTGGCAAGTCTGGCCTCAACGTTCGGCCACATTGGCGCTTCCAAAAAGGCAGCGGGCGGCGGTGATTCGCCGTAGGCGTCTTTGATCCGCTGCCCCCTGTCGATTCATCGCAGGGGTGCCTGGCGTGCTAGATTATTTCGGTTTTGGTTTTGGCTCTTTTTCCAAAAAGAACTCCCCCTGGGGCTTCGGCCCGTCCCGCCAAGGTCCCGGGAGGATTGCCAGGACCGGAAACGACCTCAACGTCCGCAAACAATTCTCCAAGACGGCTCAAGATGGCCTCCAAGATGGCCTCCAAGATGGCCTCCAAGTTCCCCCCAGATGGTCCAAGACGGCCTCCAAGAAGGCCCAAGAGAGTCCAAGACTGCCCAAGACAGCCTAAGAGGCCCCCCAGAGGCCTCCAAGACGGCCCCAAAGGCCTCCAAGAGGTCCTCCATGAGGGCCCGAAGAGGCCAAAATCATTAAGTTTGGTTAGGTTTTTGAAGGATCTGGGAATTCGCATCTTCTCGGCTTTCAGACGACCCAAGACGGCCCAAGAAGCCCCCAAGATCGCCCCCACAGCGCCGCCTGCAAGATTGCCTCAGGACTGCCCAACAGGCTCCCAAGACGGCCCCAAGAGGGCACAAAGACGACCCAAGAGGCCTCCAACACGCCCAAGATGGCCTCTAAGACGGCACTGGAGCACCCCAAGAGGGCCCCAAGTCGGCCCAAAAAGGCCCCCCAAACGGCTTCCGACGGCGTCAGACGGGCCACGAGCCCACAAAGATAGCCGAAGTTGGCTCGAAGCTGGCCCAAGACGGCCCAAGAGGCCTCCAAGAGGGCCTCCAGGAAGGCCAGAAAAAGCTCAAAACACTGACTTCCCTAGGATTTTGGCATTTGCCTCGTTGCGGCCTTCCGACGGCCCGATACGGCCCAAGAGAGATCGCCCAAGAGGCCTCCAAGATGGCCCCAGAACGACCCAAGAGGCCCCCAAGACGGCACCAAGAGGCCCCCAAGACGGCCCAGGAGGCTTTTAAGACGCCCAAGATGGCCTCCAAGACGGCTCTGGAGCATTCCAAGAGGGCCCCAAGTCGGCTCAGAGAGGCCCCCCGAACGGCTTCCGACGGCGCCGGACGGGCCAGGGGCCCACCAAGACGGCCGAAGATGGCACTAAGATGGCCCAAGACGGCCCAAGAGGCCTCCAAGAGGGCTTCCAGGAAGGCCCCAAAAGGCAGAAATCATTGATTTCCCATGAGTTTTTGAAGGATTGTGGCATTTGCATTTTTTTTCGGCCTTCCGACGGCCCGAGACGGCCCAAGTGCCCCCAAATATCGCCAAAGAGGCCCAAGACGGCCCCAAGAGGCCCCCAAGACGGCCGACGAGGCCTCCAAGACGATCAAGATGACCTCCAAGACGGCCCAAGAGCCCTCCAAGACGTCCTCCAAGAAGGCCCGAAAGGGTCAGAATGGCCTCCAGGCGGCCAAGATGACCTTCAAGATGCCCACGTGTTCCCCGAAGGCTTTCCAAACCGATTCGGGGAACACATGGTCCGATAGCTTGGCAGGTCTGGCCTCAACGTTCGGCCACATTGGCGCTTCCAAAAAGGCAGCGGGCGGCGGTGATTCGCCGTAGGCGTCTTCGATCCGCCACCCCCCGTTGGCTTGCCACAAGGGTGCCCCGCGTGCAAGATCCTTTCGATTTTGGTTTTGTCTCTTCCAGGAAGAACTCCCCCTGGGGCTTCGGCCGATCCCGCCAGGGTCCCGGAAAAGCCCCCAAACCACCTCAACTACCGCAACAACTTCTCCAAGACGGCTGGGCAGGGGGCGGCGGTGACTCGCCGTAGGCGTCTGTGACTCGCCGTAGGCGTCTTCGATGACGTCAACGTCTCAATCTGTGCTGATGATTCCTATCCGCCCCCGCATGAGATTCCCAGATGCGCCAAGGCAGCGCCGAGACGCACCGACGCGACTCTGATATATCCCATTCTGAGAGAGAAGGGGCCGGCGGCAGGGGGCGAAGCTCTTACGGATAGAAGGACTTGATGTTCTTAGGACTGCTTCCATGGTCCTGTGAAGGGATGAATGGCACTGCCTTCTCCTCCTCCTCCTCCTCCTCCTCCTCCTCCTCCCCCTCCCCCTCCTCCTCCTCCTCTCCTCCTCCTCCTCCTCCCTCTCCTCTCCTCCTCCTCCTCCTCCTCCTCCTCCTCCTCCTCCCCCCCCCCTCCCCTCCTCCCCTCCCCTTCCTCCTCCTCCCCCTCCTCCTCCTCGGAAGGAGACGGCGGCCACGCCTCCATGGTCCTGACGTCGAGTATCTCGGTGGTGTCCAGGTCGCCGGTGCCGTCCGAGCCTGGACCAGGTGCGCTGTGCCCACCGTCCGCACGGCTCTGCCCCCCGCCCCTCGCCCCCCGCCCCCTCTGCTGCGCGCGGCGCTCAGGTCGAGGAGCCCGCACAAGGCGAGCACATGGCCTGTACTGGACCCCCTGAGCTAAAAACAGGTTGCCATCTCTTAGGGGGCGCATCTTTGACTTCCGCTGGCTATACGCCCCCGCTTGCCTCGTCATACTTCCGCGGGCTTTCGCCACCTCTCCGCCGCCCTCAGCCGAGGAAGAGATGGCAACTCTTTCGATCCTCGAAGGCGAGGCCCTTTCTGGATCGCTTCACATGTCTCCGAGGTGCGCCGCGCCTCGGAACAGCATCTGGAAGCCCAGTGTTTGACAATTGTGTGTGACACTATTGTAACCAAGAACCTTTTGCGCAACACCAGCAGGCCTCTAAGAGGCCCTAAAAGATGCTCCAGTAGGACCCTCAAACGGTCCCTAAAAGGCGAAATGCCTTACCCGTTGACGTCGCTTCTCATCTCGGGGTCGGCGGAATGGCGTAAGACAGTTGGTAACCTTTTTCGAACCACTGTGGTCCACTGTGGTATAGGTGGTTCAAGCTGGTGTAACACCGAAATTAACTCACTGAAAGAATACCATTGTGAGCACGAGTGTGGCGGACCGTATCACTGTGAACGAAACCACCGCGGGCAATGCCACATTGTGATTGTGACCATTGTGTGCCAGTGCATGCCCACACCAGTGGTGTTCTAGACCGCCAGCTGCAAGGCGTCACTGTCACGCAAGAGCTCCAAGGTCGAAAGGCAGCCCTGGACGCCTGGAGAGGACAACGCACCACAGAGGGCCCGAAGCACCCCACCCCGTGCCTCCAAGCACTATCAGCCTGTGCTCGTCCAGCCGAGAGGCTGCGCAGGCATTCCGGCGCGTGCCCATGCGTGGACCTGGGCATGCAGGCTGCGGGAAAGGACAGGGAGGCGGGGGAGAGGAGGACGAAGAGGAGGAGGAGGACGAGGAGGAGGAGGAGCGAGGAGGAGGAGGAGGAGGAGGAGGAGAAGCGAGTAGGAGGAGAAGCGAGGAGGAGGAGGAGGAGGGAGAGGAGGAGGAGGAGGAGGAGGAGGAGGAGGAGGAGGAGGAGGAGGAGGAGGAGGAGAAGTGAGGAGGGGGAGGAGAAGCGAGGAGTGGAAGGAGCGAGGAGGAGGAGGAGGAGGAGGAGGAGGAGGAGGAGGTCATGGGGGGAAGCTGTGACGTGGAGGTCGGATGAAGGGAACAGGCCAGGAGATTCTCGCTGCTCGCGAGCACCTGTGCGGTGCTCCTCTACTGTGCTCCTGCTGATAGCCATATGCTTTTCGCGACCAATCGTAGAGTGGGCTAGCAGGAGCCACCGATGGCTCAGCCCAGACCAGTGGTCAAAATTAGTTGACATGTTTTGGGGTCCCCAAGGGAGGGTGGGTGAGGGTGCGGGTTGGAAGCGGCCAGGTGGTCTTACGTAGTTGGGGCCCTAGAAAATCTGTCAGAAGTGGGGAATGAAGCAAAATCCGTTCAAGATCGGCCCGAGGACGGTCCTGGGGCATGCAAACGGATGCCAGAAGCCGAAAAGGCAAACAAAGACACTTCCAAAACGAGAATCTCGAACCTCGCCCTCCCGCCCTACCCTCCTGCTCGCCGGAGCCAATGCTGGGCCCTGGGCCACCTCAGACCCCTGGCCAGCTTCAAGGTGCGGGCACCACGACGGCTACGCTCAGGTCGGGCGTGTCCCTCTACAGGCGAATGTTTAAAAATAGTCAAAAAATCCAGGAATGGTTAAGAATAGTGGAACATCGTCCCCAGACTATTCTTGAGCTATTTTGGATATTCCTCCCGCAGAGGGACGTGCCCGACTTCAGGTACAACGCGACTCGGCGAGGACAGCGCGGCGAGACCGCCGAAGGCATAGACCCATGTGGCCGCTGGGCCCCCAGGTGTGCGAGAGGGGGGCGTCTGTGCCCGCGCGAGGCACTGGGCTGGCGTGGCTGGCCTGGCCCCTCTCGCTCCGGCGCGAGGAGGAGGAGGAGGAGGAGGAGGAGGAGGAGGAGGAGGAGGAGGAGGAGGAGGAGGAGGAGCAGGAGTTGGAGGAGGTGGAGGGAGGAGGAGGAGGAGGAGGAGGATGAGGAGGAGGAGGAGGAGGAGGAGGAGGAGGATGAACACCTCTGCACTTTCGGCGACGGGGGAGCGATCGTGCGGGGGAGCAGGCCCCGAGCTGGGGCAAGTGGTCGGGCCCCTGCTCTGGCTCAGGCTCTCGGTCCTCGCGGGCCATGTCCTTGGGCCGCGGCCCCGCTTACACGGGGCGTTTTTGCTCGCGGATGCCCCACGCGGAACTTATCCGCACGATCCGCGGGATCGCGCCCCAGAATCCAGACCACGAGTGTGCGGATATGGATATGTTGTCCGCTCGTGAGGTCTGGTGAGACTCCGAAAGCAGCCCGCAAACGTCATGTCTAGGGGCTTGGCTGAAGTGTGCGCTTTTCGCATCGTTCTCCCTTGCAGGGCGTAACGAAGCTGCTGGTCGGCGGGCGGACGCCGTGTGACCGAGGATGGTCGCACGGTAGAGACGTTGAATTACCACGACGTGCTTTATTTCGAGCCCACGGGGCCCACGTCCAGGCGAAACACTGGCTAGCAGAACGCATGCGCTGCGGAATTGAACAACTCTGGTGGGTACGAAGACCTGAGGAAGGTTAAGCTACGATGCCGACGAACTCCCACCATCCCTTTCTGGCGCGGGGTTGTTTTGATCGTTTTCTCTTCCGACCATCCTTCGTCCCCTTCGGGGAAGGGTTAATATTTGTTCACTGCTATGCTTGAGTATCATTAAATGTGCCAAAGGCAGTTTTGTTGTTTGTTGCTATTATTCTTTTTCTCCTTCTCCGTCTTCGAAAGCAAGTTTTAAGTTGGCGTGTTGGGAATGGTGTTTTAGCGCTTCTAGGCCCCAACAAGAAAACAAAAAACGCTAAACCAACGAATCATAGTGTTGCGTCTGTGGCTGCGTCTTTTTCCAAGACGCATGTTCAGATCAATTGGGTGCATAGTTGAGCATTGCCGTCTACGACGTCCTCGCTTCCTCCTCTCCCCATGCAGTCCCTCCCCATCTGTCTGTTGTAATGGACATTGCTCCTTCTGCTTTTTTCTCGTCCTCGCTGCTGGCTGGGGCGTCGGGCCTCCGGGCTCAGTGGCCGATGGCGCCTCCTGGGGCCGTCGGGCCTCCGGGGGCCTGTTTCGGGCAGGCGTTCGACCAGTTTCAAGCGTTTTCGTTGATGCGTTTTTCACTCTGGGAGGGCGATTGGCGGCAGAAGCGAGCAAGCGGGAGCGAAGACAGCAGGGAGGACAAGGAACTGACCTCGACCAGAAAACAGCACAAATGCCCAAACAAATTGCAAGCCACAACGACGGACCTAAAAACGCAACGAATCAAAAAAGGCTAAGCAACTATTGCGTTCATTTCCTGCCGCGTTTTTGGTTTGTCATGAGCCCAACATGCAAAACGGTGCAAAAAAAAGTCCAGGGCGTATTGGGAAATAGCCCGCACTTTTAGATACCCCCCCCGGCGACCGGCAGCCAATTAGGACCAACGACAATCCCCCACCATCCATGTCAAAATAACTGGGCGCGGAGATCTCCATAAACGCATCTCAAACTGCTGTCACGTCTCGCTGAGGAGATCTGTCTGAGTGCCTGGGTGTGAGAGCGACTACGCGTAGACGACAGGCGCGGCAACGACGTTGACGACGACGACGACGACGACCGCGACGACTTCATTGACGTCCTCCTCCTTTAGGCATTTTTCATGCGAAGCGAAAGAAACACGAATGGAAACGCGAGGGGGACTTTCTCCTGCCGTCCTTCCCGCGGCGACTCAGGAAAGTGCGCATGGCGTTGCTACGTCCGCTCTCTGGCGGGTCTCTTGCGGCGCTTGCTGGCACTTGGTGTGCCCAAATGCCACGCAAGCTGTATCGTGGTAGCCAATTGTGTGTGAACCTTCGTGCGAGTGAGTCTGAGCGTTAGTGATCTGAGCGTGGGCGAGTCGGAGTGTGAGTGGACCCGGGTATACTTGAGCCTGAGTGTGAGTGAATCTGGGTGTAGTCAGTCTGAGTAGGAGTGGGTCTGCGTATGGGTGAGTCTGAGTGCGAGCGGATCTAAGTGCGAGCGGGTCTGAGTGTGAGTGAGTCTGAGTGCTGGTGAGTCTGAGCTTGAATGTAACGAATACAATTCTGAGTATGAGCGAGTCTGCGTGCGAGGTAGTCTGAGTATGAGTGAATATCAGGGTGGAAGAGTCTGAGTGTGAGTGGATCAGAGTGTGAGTTGGTCTGGGTGTGAGTGATCCTGAGCTTGAGCGAGTCTAAGTCTGAGGGGGTAGGTCTAGGTGCATCCGAATTGGAGGCTGGGGGGTGAGATCGCAGTGGAACAAAGCCTCCCACCGGGAAGTCGTCTTCGGTTTCGTGCTCGTGTCGTGCGTGCGGTCGTGGCGAAGCTGCGCGGGCGCGCGAGAGGAATGATGCCGCCGTGGCTAGGGGCCGTGGAGCCGTTTGACTCGGGCGTTCACTAAAGGCGGGGCGACAGATGGGGGGGTAATAAAGGCGCACCTTTCGTGCACCTTTCGTACCCCTTCGGGGCCCTAGGGGGCTCGTTTAGGGCTCCTTGAGGGTTCCTTTCGTGCAACCCTCGACGCACGCCCCCCCTCATTTATCGCCCCCCCATTACCGAACGCCCGAGTGACCGTCCCCCCCGCCCGCCGGGCGCGCCTGTGCCTGGGGTGCCCCCGCGGTGGCGCGGAGGTGTCCCGGCGGTGGCGCCGGGGTGCCCCGCCGGTGGCGCGGGGTGTCCCGACGGCGGCTCCCGCTGTGGTGCCTTGATGGTAGCCCGCGAGATCAGCTGTGAGATCGGTAGCGAGGTCGATCGTGAGATCAATTGCGTGATCGATCGTGATCGTGAGATGAAGCAGATCGATCGTGAGATCCATCGAGGGATCGAGAGTGAGATCGATCGCAAAAGATCTTCGGCTGGGGTGCCCCGCCGTGGCTGGGGGTGACCCATCGTGGTGTGTCCCGGTGGTATCTCGCGAGATCTCTTGCGAGGTCGACTCCCCAGACTCAGGAGAGCCGCATGTGAAAGCAGCCCCTGCCGGTCCAAATCCTGGGGCGGCCCTAGGACAGTGGGGTGCAGAGACAGCCAGCGGGCGCGAGCTGAGTGACCCCCCGTCGGTGGGCGGTGAGGGCAGGGGTCAGGATTTCGTCACTGCGCCTCGGTCGATCCACCCGCACTCTGTCATTGACGGCCACTGCGGCCAGCGGCCGCAGCGGCTTCACGCAGCGGATCTTTTCTCGTCGCGCCCGGCGACCAGGTGCAAATGTCATCGAGGGGAGGTCGAGCACCTTCTCTGCCCAGCCGCGGCGGCAAACAGTGGCACGCCAAGTGTGGGCACGACCAAACAAGGGCACGATCATCAACAACACATGTCGTCCAAAGCTGGCAGCGGCCGCTCTTGGTACACAGTCACACGCACAATCGCACGCATAGACACACACGCACACGCACACGCACACGCACACGCACACGCACACACCACACACACACACACACCACACCACACCACACCACACCACACCACACCACACCACACCACACCACACCACACCACACCACACCACACCACACCACACCACTTCACACACAGACACACGCACACACGCAGGCGCCCGTCATTCTATGTTTGTAGTCATGCGAGTGCAGTTCTTGTGCTGAGAACATTGGTTGATCATATTCACGCGTGTTGATGCATTAATGACAACGCATCGGCGTGTACACAAGACGCGTGCTATAATAAACCCGCATGCGCATGTACATACCAGACATGCGTATCATAACAGAGCAATCGGACAAAAGGGGACAACGAATGTTAAACATCATTGAAATCACTATGCCTGAAGCGGCATCGCAGGATCATAGCGACCACGAGCAGTATGCACATCGTGATTGCCCTCGTTGCAGCAAGGACAACATGGGTGACGATGACAATGTCGTCGCGACCGACCAACTCAGCCTGCACTCAAGAAGACAGGACAATGGGGGAGCTATGCCAATAAGCAATGGCGTGGAAAGCATGAGAGCGATAAGTACACCCGCATCTGAAGAAATTGTCCTGTACTACTCAGGGCAACCGCCAATATCCAAGCACCTCGGCGGTGTCCAGCTCACTGGGGAGGCAACCGCATATTTATCTCATACGGCCTTACATTCAACACATGCTGTTACTATACTGCATGCTCCTCTCCTGCCTGTCCTGCAAAACATGCAACCTACACAGAATGTCCCGATGCTCCTTTGCGATGCATCTCCTACTAATCTTCGCCTTCACCTATTCGATACTCAAACCATGCGCATGCTTGTACCTGATACCAAATCCTGTCCGGTTACTTGCATAAGCCAATGCGAGCCCCTAAATGCAAGCACTGATGGGTGAACACACAGAGCTCGAAGGGACCTCAAGACACTCCACTCAATGCCTACGGCAGGGTGGCGAATGACGTAGCATGGGTTCGCAACGGAAGCGATGACAGATTCGTCAACTCCTGAACCCAGGAGGGAAGGCTCAAGGAATAAGCCTTCTGAGAAGGCTCAATACGCCTCCAGCGTTCGGAACTGCTTTCTAAGCATTTTCTTAAGCCGCAGGCGGCGTCTTCGAAGGCTGGAGGGCTTCTGAGAAGCCCCGCCACCTTCTGGGAAGGCCTGCATCTTCTGACTTTCCCCCACTGGACGCGCCGCCGAATGAAGGCATAATGTGACCAACAGAAAAGCGGTAACACTTGTGCAGCCACATCCCATTGACTCCACGGCCTCCCCCCATACTCACAGCGTGGTGGCGAACATGCGCAGCCAGGACACTGGACAAATAACAATGACTGATGCGCTCTTGCTCCACCCATGACCCCGCATGATGCGACTTGCGACTGTCCTAATCCTCATCCTTATCTGCCGTGGTGCGCAAAGCAAGCGGCATGCAAACGACGCTCGCCTGAAGTCGTCCGAGCCCCCCAATACGAGAAGCCGCTGCTCATCTATCATCACTGCAGCACATGCGTTCCGCTTGGTGCCTGGCGAGGACGCGGGCAAGTTGATGAGCGTGTGGGCACACCGGTGCAACATACGAACAATCAATTTGCAATGTAGCATGCGGATGAGGTGGAGCCGTTATATTGCTATGTGTATATACAGATATACATGCATGTATACATGCATACATGTATACACACATGCACATCTATACATAAATCTAGATGTGTGCGTACGCATATGTATGCATGCATGTATGTATGCATGCCTGTCTGTCTGTCTGGCTGTCTGTCTGTCGGTATGCATGCATGTATGTATGTATGCTGGCATGTGTATATACACACATTTACACGTACATACATATAAGCATGCTAGCACCATCGCGCGCGCTTCACGTGCGCTCAGGTTCTAGCAGGCCCCAGGCCTTGACGAATTCACTGCTCCACTGAAGTAGTGGACCACAATCCACGCATACCAATCCGCATTTCGAAAGGCTTTCGGAGAATGATTGCGTAGGGGGGCGGAGTCCGTATGAATCGGGTTCCCAGGAGGCCTTCTGGGAGCATGGGTTTGGGGGGCGTCTTGGGGAGCCTGTTGGGGCGTGCCGTCGTCGTCGTCGTCGTCGTCGTCGTCGTCGTCGTCGTCGTCGTCGTAATGTCGTCGTCGCCTCTTGGGGCGCGCCGTCGTCGTCGTCGTTGTCGTCCTCGTCTTCGTCGTTTCGTCGTCGTCGTCGTCGTCGTCGTCGTCGTCGGTTCAAGAGGGCACTTGGGGCAACTTTGTGCGAAACGATCTGTCGAGGGCCGCGAGAAGGCGATCAGTCATGTTCCCAGTCAACTTCCCAGACAGCTCTCCTGTAGTATGATGGTACTTCGAAGCCTCCAGAGACTCGCGGGCCCATGATGAACCATGTCCCCCGAAGGCTTTCTGGGGACATGATTTCTTGGGGTGGGTTGGGGGGCCTCTTGGGCGTTCCCTGGGATTCCCTTGAGGGTCTCTTGGGGCTTCCTGGGTACCCCTTGGGCGCCTCACGGGGCTTCGTGGGAGCCTCTTGGTGGCCTCCCGGGGCCTGCTGGCGGCCTCTAGGGACAGAGACCTCGACATATCGGTTGGCGATCCCTCTCTGGGCTCCCTCTTGGGGAGCTCTTGGGGCACACTTGGGTTGTCTGGGGAGCCTCCTGGGCCGTCTTGGGGCCCTCTTCGGGGCCTCGTGGGCAGTCTTGGAGCGATCTGAAGGGCCTCCGAGCGAGGCCGTGAGGGAGCGCTGGGAAGCGGGGAAAGCGAGAACGCCTAAATCCTTGAAAATCCTTCGGACAATTAGTGAATCTTGCGTTCCAGGGCCCTCTTGGGGAGCCTCTTGAGTCCGTCCTGGAGCGTGTTGAGGGGGTTTTCCTGGGGGCCTATTGGGGCTTCCAGGGGGCCTCTTGGGAGCCTCACGGGGCTTCTTGAGACCCTCTTGATGGCCTCCGGGGGCGTCCTAGGCGCCTCTCAGACTTGAAATGTCGCGCTCGTCGGGCCCTCTTGGGTCGCTCTTGGGGCTCTCTTGGGGCGCTCTCGAGACCCTCTTGAATTATCTGGCCAGCCTCCCAGGCCGTCTCTGGGCTTTCTTGGGGGCCTCTTCGGCCGTCTTGGAGCGATCTGAAGGGCCTCTGACGCCGTCCGGGACCGTGGGGAGGCGGAACGTGGGAGAGCGCAAAAATGCTTCAAAGACCATCGGAAAAATTTATGATTTTCGGCTTCTGAGGCCCTTTGGAGGGGCCTCTGGGGGCGCTCTTGGGACGTATTACTCTGAAGCTTAAAAAGTGACAACAGTTTCGCAGATGGAGGGTGGTTCTCAAAATGTGGCTCTCGCCTTAGCGCTGCGCACATTCGCTTTCAAATGTTGCAAGAGCTTCGCGGATTGAGGGCGGGGTCGTTTTCAAAATGTGGCTCTCGCCTTAGCGCCGCGCGCATTCGTATTACACATTTGCAAGAGGTTCACGGATTGAGGGCGGGTGGTCTTGAAAATGTGGCTCTCGCCTTAGCGCTGCGCACATTCGTTTTCAACATTCGCAAGAATTTAACGGATTAAGGGCATGTCGTTTTCAAAATGTGGTTCTCGCCTTATCGCCGCGCACATTCGCTTTAACAAGTTGTAAGAACTTCACGGATCGAGGGCGGTTCTTTTTCAAGACGTGACTCTCGCCCTAGCGCCGCGCACTTTCGTTTTCAAAGTTGAAAGAATTTCACGGATTCCCCTGATCACCGTACCAGAAGTGGTGTTTGGAAGGATTCAGGATCACGCAGGTGCAACAGATATGTTGCTTCGCGGGGTTGAAGTCCCAAACATGGCTTTCTGGCACGATTCCGGATCTTCAACACGCAGCAGTCAGGTTGATCCGCGGCGTTGCCATCCCGAGAACAATATTTTGGCATGCTTCAGGATCTTCAAACGGTTGTCTTCCAACGGGGCAGTTCCCTCAATGGAAATGAACGGTTGTAGGGACCTCTGAAGAGGGAGCTTGGAGGGAGGCTTAATTCCAACACCGTTGATGCCTCTTGGGTTTACACTGCTCCTCCTCCTCCTCCTCCGCCTCCGCCTCCTCCGCCTCCTCCTCCTCCTCCTCCTCCTCCTCCTCCTCCTCCTCCTCCTCCCCCTACCCCTCTGCCTCCGCCTCCTCCTCCTCCTTCTCCTCTTGCTCGTCATGTCGTGACCCGCTTGCCGCGTTGCTCCCGCTCGTGGCGCCCGTGCGCCCTCGGTGCTCCCGCCGGCGCAGTGTGCCCCCGGCGCCCCTGATGCGTGGCCTGTCCGTCAGCCGGTGCGGTGGGCCTCTGGGAGCATTCTGTGAGACCTCCAGTGGGACGCACAGAGACATACTAATACTATATGTCCGCCTTGGAGGCGCGCGTCCGACCCGAGCATATAGTATACCCATCTTGTAGTATATAGCTTCTCGAGCGGTGTAGCCAGGAAGCGCCCGCCGCGACGCGTAGACTATCAGAATTCTCGGTACGCGCGTCGCCCCTGGGGGGGCGACGAACACATAGTATGAGTATGTTGGGGGGACGCCGATCCAGGGGCCTTTGGGTCAGTGGTCAGTCGCGGCAGCGGCACTTGCCACTCTCTGCTCTCGCTGCTGCTGTTTCTTCTCCTCCTCCTCCTCCTCCTCATCCTCCACCTCCTCCTCCGACCCCTCTTCTTCCCCTTCCTCCTCCTCCTCCTCCTCCTTAAGACGGGACCGAGACGAGGACAAACTCAGGGCGTGACAAAGCGGGCGCCTCTCGGAGCCGGCGGGAATGGCGGACGCGTTCGGCCCTGCGGCCACCGCAGGGCGCTCCTGGACGCTCCCCGAGGGTGCCGCGGACAGCTCTCTAGAGCGACTCTCGGGCACGCGCTGACGCGGCTCGGGGGATGTACCCCACGATCAGGGCCGAGACCCGGGGGGGGGGGTCAGAGGGAGAAGGCCTCCTCAGAAGGCTCGGAAGCCCCCGGCCTTCTGAGACGTTTCCTGAGCCTCCCCTGGAGGCGCAGGGAACTTCTCGGCAGGCGCGAGGGCTTCCGAGAAGCCCCGCCGCCTTCTGAGAAGGCCTTCTCCTTCTCGCTTCCGCCCCCCCCTCCCTCGCTCGCCGCCGACGCGGAACGTGGGGCCACTGCCGCCCGATCTGGCGACGGAGCGCGCCGATGCTGTGATGACGGAGGCGAGATCAGTCCGTGCCCGCGCGCCCGGGTCCGTGTTGGCGGCTCCACGAAGCACGGCACACCGTTGGCTGCGAGATGAGCGCCCGTGTCGGGTCCAGGTGGCGCGACATCGAGGCGCGCCCCCCTCGCTCCCGCACTTCAAGGCTGACTTGGAAGCGACGGGCCACTCGCAAGAGCGGGCGTGCATTTCCCAACACTTCGCGCTCCCCTCTGGCGCGGTCGGGGTGTCGGGGGGCCCTGTCGGTACTTTTACGAGTGAGCGTTAATTCCGCGGGCGGCGGTGTCCTGATCCCAAAGGCCGCCTCTCTCCTACCCCTACCCTTCGGCCCACACCTTCTTCCTCTCCCTCCCCCGTGCTGCTGGAGACGGGCGCCGCATCGTGGAGAGGGGCAGGCAGGCAGGCAGGCAGGCGGCAAGACACAGGGCGGCGTCGCCCATGCGAGGTCCGGGCGTGAATTCCTCCCCTCGCCGCGCCCGCCCCGCGCCCCTGCTCTCAACAAGCAAGCTTGACTCGTGGGCGGGAGACGTGTGTACCTATCGGCGGCGAGCCCAGGGGGGAAGTGAGAAGGAGAAGGCCTTCTCAGAAGGCTTGGCAGTCCCCTGGCCTTCTGAGACATTGTCTGAGCGTTCCCCGAAGACGCAGAAGACTTCGCAGAGGGCGCGAGGGCTTCTGAGAAGTCCCGCCGCCTTCCGAGCAGGCCTCCTCCTTCTCGCTTCCTCCCCTCGCTGGTCGCCGAACCTGGACAATGCTCGCACGGGCTGTGCTCTGGCCCATTGCTGGGGCCTCTTGGGGCCCTCACCGGGCGCCAGGACCGTAAACACAGCCGGTCCTGGAGGCAGTGCTGGGACCGCCGGGGACCCCGCACTGAAGAGGGAAGACGTCGTCTGTGTTGGTGCACGTCTCGGTCTGGGCGAAAGGGGGAGGCAGCAATGATGATGATGATGATGCTGATGATGATGAGGATGATGATGAGGATGGTGATGATGATGATGATGATGATGATGATGATGATGATGGTGATGATGAGGAGGAGGAGGAGGAGGAGGACGTCGGCCTGGAGTGCTGGCTTCGAGCAGTCGCGGCGCGCCAGATGGGCCTGGACAGCCCTGGTGGGCGCCGCGCCGGCCCTGTGACGCTACAAGGGCGCGCTCGAGGCCAGCTGCTGGGCGCCCCATGTCTGAAGCGGGGCGAAAGGGGGGGATAGCAAAAGGGGGGTTTGAGAATCAGCTCGCGCAGCTGACTTTCCTGGCGCCTCCTGGCGCCGGAGGCGACCATGTATCGAGGAGTGGGCCCCTCGGTGGGGCCGAAACCAGCTGCATGCAGCAGATTTCGTAACCCCCCTCTTCCAATCCCCCCCTTTCGTCCGGCCCGAACGTCGGTCGGAATAAGCAGGTCAAACCATGAAGTAGGAAGGCGGATGACGTGGGTTGGGTCCAGGTCCTCCCCGAGAACAACAACACACAGCAGAAGCAAGCCGTTTCTTGAAGTAGGACAGCGCTTGAAGTAGATTGGAATCTGGAAATCCAGAAATACTTACCCCGAACTTCTTATTGATCAACCGGGGGGTGACAAACGTGAAAACGCGGCGCGGCCAAGCACCCCCCCCGGCACCACCCCCGCGCCCCAGCGGGGAAGGGAACGAACCCCCTACCCCCCTTGGCACCCCCGTGGACGCGCCGCGGCCAACCCCCCAAAGGCACTCCAAGGAGGGGGGGCGATTCTTAAGAGGTCCAGAGTACTTTCAACGACCGATGGGCACTGGTGTCCACATCCACGGCCCGGCGGGCAAGGGCACCCGGGGCCGCGACCCCAGCGGCTGTATGGGGACGTATCTCCGCCGCAGAATCCACGGGCTCGCCCCCCGGAGCCCAGAAACGCGAGGGCGTGGACGTGGACACAGTTCGAGCACACCCAAGACGGGGCCCAGCTGAAAGAGGGTGGTGCAATAGGTTTGGGGCAAGTGTATTGCACATGTACGCGTCGTTTATTTCTGATCGGGCTCATTTTTTTTTTTTGCCGTGGCAATGCTTCGCGGCGCAACGGCTGCACGCGAGCTGTGACGGCGGGCAGCCACTAGGCCACCCAGTAAAAGGCGCGGACCTCACAGTCTGTGAGCCGCATTGCCGCTTCGGCTACGCGCCCGCCCGCCTGCGTGGGGTGCCAACCACCGAGCAGCTTAGTCTTCGCGCTGGTGACCTGCTTCGAGGCCGTCTGACCTCGGCAGCGGTCACCCAAGGAACGACAAACTCGCCCTGAGCATCGCACCCCGCACCGGCCACAAAAGGTATACGGCCCCGCGCGGTACAGCTGGTGCCCCTGCGCAGAGTTAAGAATCCTGTTGGCCAAGCTTCCACTAGCACGGGCTGGCCCCGTGCTTGGCCCCTCTGGAGGAGGAGGAGGAGGAGGAGGAGGAGGAGGAGGAGCCGCAGGAGGGGCAGGCGCAACAGGCTCGGGCGGCTGGGGGCTAGGCATCAGGGCGCCTCGGCCACGGCTGCGACTCCTATGCACATGCGCGCCTACACCACCGCCACGACCAGAGCCACCCTCATACGTCACTCGCTGCCGCACTCCAGGGCACCGCTGGCGCAGGTACTGCACCGCTCGGGCCCCCAGCACCTTGGAGCGCGCACCGCAGTCCAGGCATCTGTACCACTGGCCCTCCGTGACGATGTTGTGCCTCCTGATCGTCGGGTCCCGCGGCCGTCCTCGCGCCGCAGGGCCAGCAGGCGCACTCGGCCCTACGGCTACACCGCCACCGTCGGAGTCCTCGATGGGGTCGTCCTCCTCCATCTCGTCGTCGGCAGGCGCGGCTGCTGCTGTTGGCTGGGTCGCCACCCTCGCAGCCTCCTCTGCTGCGGCAGCCACCTCCTCAGGCGATGCGCCTGCTGCCGCTGCCGCTGCCGCTGCCGCCGCCACAGCTGCCGCTGCCGTAGCCGTGGCATTCCCTGCCGATGTCATGGCAGGCCTCGTCTCGTCAGCCTCGGGCTGCCGTCCTCGCAGCTGGGCCTCTCGTCGGCGCTGCGCCCGTGCCTCCTCTTTGGTGGGCAACGCAACGTCCCCGAAGTCGCCGACCTCCACTGCCATGTCTGCCACGAAGTCCAGCACCTGCTGCACCGTCTTCCAGCGGTCCTGCCAGACGTCGATCTGCCACTGCGGCGGCATGGTCAGCTGCGCTCCTTTGACCGCCAACTCATCGGCGATCTTGTTACCGTGCACGTGGAACGCGTTCTGCCCTCTGCCATGCGATCGCACATGCGCCACAGTGAGGCCATCCATGTTCGGGAAGGTCTCGTCCACGACATTCCAGATGCGCATCCAGATGTCGCAGTTGCTCCTCTGCGGCGCCGTGCACCACAGTCGGCCCCTCCTCATGCCTCTCACCGCCATCTCGTAATCGGTGACCAGCGTGGTGGGGGCCGTCGCCCTGTTCAGGGCATACCAAATGGCCTGGAGCTCGGCCCGCCCCATGTAGCCCCAGCCGTAGCCCTTGAGCGTGTTGGCGCCTTTGCCCGAGCCGTCGGTGAAGCAGACCCCCGAGATGAACGGCATGACGTCGTCCTCGCAGATGCCGCCGCCCTCTGCGTTGACCGAGTGGTACTGCTCGATCTGGGTGTCGCCCTCAACGTCCTGGATTGGGTGCGCCACCAGGCCGCAGTTGAGCAGCAAACTCTCGCCTGTGCCCGCCATGCGCTGCACAACGCCCGCATGCTTGTCGGCGAGCTTGGTCCTGCTCTCCTCATGGGCCTCGCAGCGCCCGAAGCGGTGCCTCTGAGTGCCCTGCGCGCGCCTGCACTGCTGGCACAAGCCGTCGGCTACCGTGCCGCGCTGCTGGAGCTTGGTTTGCGTGCAGTAGTCCTGCCCCACGTAGGCCTTGATGGCGCCTTGATGCGCAGCCCACCTGCGCTTCTTGAGCAGCGCCCTCACCGGCTCCAAAAACGGCATCGGGACCTCCTCAGCGATGCCCTTATCTGTGGCCCACTTTGTGAGGACCTGCCGCTCGATGGCCCTCTCCAGCTTGTACCTAACCGTCTTAGGCGCCACCGTGTGCAGTGGCACCTGGACGCCCGCTGGTGTGAGCAGCGTCCACGGCGCAGGCCATGACCAGCCGAGGTCGCGCAGGGTCCTCAGGACTGCCTCTGCAGGCCCTCTGACTGCCGACCATGCCACCTTGCCTGCCGTGGCCAGCCTCGCAGACGCCTTCCTCCATGCCGCGACCATAGCCTCCTCGTCCATGGCCCTACTCCATACCACCTCAGCCCACTTCACCACTGGCCGTATGGTGAGGCTCACCGCTGGGTCGGCCTCCTCGAGCCATAGGCGCAAGGTGCGATCCTTGCCCATGGCCTCGCCGCTCAGCGCCATCGACATGTTGATGCGAGCCCTTTCGATGAGCTTCGGCGGCGCTCCGATACAGGCCACCCCGTAGCGTATGCACGGCAAGAAGCCAAACTTAGCTACCTTGGCCGTGCCAAGGCTGGCGCCCTGCTTCTTCAGGATGTTCAGCTTGGTACCGCTCGTGACCCTGATCGGGCTCATTTCTAATAGTGCTCGTTTCTAATTGTTCCTGGCCCCCTAGTGGCCAGGAAGAGGCCCAGGATAGAACAATTAGAAATGAAAGGATCTCGGCCTCCCCAAAAATCAAGAAGTTTCGAATACTTAGACATGAACCATGTTTATTGCACCGGAGAGTAGTATTGCATTGTGTTGCAATTAAATGTATTGCACGCGAAACTAGAGCAATACATTTGCGCCCCGGAATGTATTGCACGCCCCAAATGTATGGCAACCCCACAAATCTATTGCGCCACATCTATTGCACCATCCCCTTGTCGCTGGACCCCCTTTTGGGTCAACCCGAACAGTGGAGGCCAGTCCACAAGAAACCTCCCACACGATACCCAAGGACGTTCATTGATTTCTGGTGCGGGCATGTCGCGCTTTCCGCAGCAGGACCGGCGAAAAACCAGCGAAACCCAGGGCACCCTGGAGGCCAAACCGGGTGCTTCCTGGCATGGGTCTCCACCGTGTGTTCGCCGCTCTGGGTTGACCGCAGGATGGGAGGGGGCGAATATGACAAGAGGGACCCTGCCCTGCTCGCATCGTTCGAGTGTCTGCAACCCCCCTCGGCCTCCGCCCTTCTGCGCACGGCGCCATCGTCCTGCCGATCACCGTGCACCCCTGCTGATCACTTCGGCACCTCCTTTCGGCGCCCGGGCTATCCGGGGCAACTCGGGCCCCGGGCAACTCGGGTCTGGCTTCCCGAAGAACGAACCCGAATTAGCCCTGACCCGAGTTGCCCCTGATGACTTGGGGCTCTGGACGCCCGAATTGTCCGGGGTCGCTCGGGCCCAGGGGAACTCGGGTTCGCACTCCCGAAGAACAAGCCCGAGTTAGCCCTGATCCGAGTTACCCCTGATGATTCGGGGCTCTGACTCCTCCTTTCGTCCTGCGCACTGCG